ACTGACGTTGAAGCGTCTTTTCCGGACTTTACCTTTCTGTACTAAACTCCTTAGGTTTATAAGAATGAGGCATGTCATGAGGCTTCCTCTTAAATAAATTTGATACATTTTCAAAATGAATATGGCGAGCACAGGAGACACATTACAGTCCCCACAAATCCAATCAAGCTGCACCAAATTGCACACACTCCATCAGTGCATGTCTGATTCTTTTCATCAAGATCCATGAATTATTCCCAAAGAAATCAGTGAAAATATCGAAGAAAACACCCACAATTTTAAAAGAACATTTAAATTAAAAATACAGGCTTGCCCCCTGATCTAGATTCACACCAATATTTGATTTGTTCTTCCTTGAGCCATACCAAATCTTTCTACTAAGTTTTGTGGAAATACACCCAGTAGCTTTTATGGAATCTTACTGACAAGCAAACAGACATACAAACCAGCCAAACAAATGGACAGGGGGGAAAACGGGACCTCCTTGGCAGGGGTTATAAAGTTTGTGAAAAGAGATTCTAATTCAAACTATTTATGTTGAGGAAATGCATTAAAGGTTGGCCTGTATATTTTGAAACTTTAGCTGTTGTCATGGTTACTGATGTCCTAATCAGTATTTGACTGTTTTTATCATTCCCAGTGTCCTATTAAAAACGTTAAAAAATGACCCAACATAATCCATTATGCATTGAAATTAAATATTATGAGTTGAACAAATATGACCACAGCTCTATTTTACATGTTTGTTACATCTCAACATACCTTTAATTACTCTGCTAGTAAAATGTTTTAATCTAGATCGGTTTTACTGAAAACTTTACGCATTTCATTTAACACTCAAACTGTCGTGTCCATGTTGAGGAAACAACTATTTATGTTGTTTCCTCAACATAAATAGTTTGAATTAAAATCTCTTTTCACAAACTTTATAACCCCTGCCAAGGAGGTCCCGTTTTCCCCCCTGTCCATTTGTTTGGCTGGTTTGTATGTCTGTTTGCTTGTCAGTAAGATTCCATAAAAGCTACTGGGTGTATTCCCACAAAACTTAAATTCAGTCACCCTGCTGTTTAGTGTACAGAGGGGGAGGAAACATATGGTTTGATAAGAACTTCACCTGTGAAAAATGAGAGCTGATTTCTAAAACCTAATTTAGTGTGTTTCGTCCCGTGCCCCCCCCTGTCAACCTCCTTCTTTCTGGTTCCTCCAATTTTAAGGATGACAAGTACCTCTTATAGTTTTTGGAAGAGCAATAAAATTTTGTCACAGATAATTAAACCAGCCAGCCAGTAACCTTCTGAAAAAACAATAGCTGAGACTCTCTAGGCTGCAGATCTGCTGACATTTAGACTGTTTGTAAAACTGCCTACCCTTTTCAGGCACAATGAAATCCATGGCCAAGGCACACACTTTCCTACTGCACTTCCTTTTCTTAGGATATATGACAGAATGAAATAGCAGCGTCCAGACAGGGACTTTCACTACTAGAGCAGAAAATTGGATGAAAAGCACAGAAACTCAGTAGAAACCTTTTAGAATTAGCCAAGGAAAGAGAACCATATCAATCCAAAATGATATCAACGCCACTTTCAGGAGATTTATGGCATAAATCATCTTATTTACGGGGGTTTTTAAACCTGTTTTCGGAGACACAGCTGATGATATGTAACAGCAGGCTTTTTAAAGAATTGCAGCTTCAGTGGAATTCAATATAGGCAGGAAATAATGTTCAAGCTGTCCATATATTTTACAGAGGCATAAAGGCAGAAAAATATCATTATTATTTATGTTAAATTGTGGGTCAATAGTTTTTTATTTATTAGCTTCTCGCATACAAATAATAGTATCTGCTTTAATGTCTAACTAAATTATTGGATTGTAGCTGTTCCTTCAAGAGTCAAAAATGAGATTCAGCAGCAACAAAAGCATATATCACTAAAGAGAAAAAAAAGCACTTGCATTATTCATTTATAATTATGCAGTGTGTTTCATCATATATGTCATATATCTCTTTATTGCAGCGCTGCTGTGGGGGGGGCATGGGGCTGATTCTTCCTATGGGTAGAATCATTTACTAATGGCCTCCATTTGCTCCCCATTCAATAATAATAATGAGCTTGTAAACAAACACAAAGCCATAAAAACAACTCTAGCGTTTTCCATGTTCTCCATTTACTGGAACCTGTGTGATCAAATATTCATGGGTTTCTATGGTAGCAAATTGTGAAGAGGCATCAAGTTTCTCATGCCACACAATGAGCTGAGCTCAGGCAGTGATGTCAGAGCCTCCTTCCTCTGCTCATAACCCCAGCCAGAGGCACAGCGTCTATAAATAGCCACTCACAATGTTGACTTCTTGCAGAGTTTGTGGTTCCATTTATTTATCGTATTTGAAAATGTGCTCAGTGAATATATATATATGTATATTTATTTTAAAAATGAGAAAAATACTTTTGTGATGAAGAGTAAAAAATAATCAGTGGAACTGTGCAATGCTTTATTCAGTTGTGAAAATTATTTAAATATATGTTTTCTTGGATTCCATTGCAGGTTATTTTTAGTGCTGTCTTAAGATTTGAATATATAATATTTAAATTGACACTTTATCTTTCTGTGGTAAATAACAGACTAACTGTACATATTGCAAATTCAAGTATTTTTTATTTTTTATTTTAAATGTCTGTTTCCTATTTTTATATTTTCTATATTTATAATTGCACAAATTCACCACAGCAAATTCCTCGTATATGTAAACAAATGTGTAGCCAAATGTCTCTGCTGATTGAGCAGAACTGGAGGCGATAACATTTGTCTTTGAAAGAGAGTGTTTAGAAAAGCAGGGGAGCCACAGAGTGATGGTCCTCAAGGAATTTACCGTAGACTTGGCAGCTGGATGTTGACACACCGCCAGTCACACACACACACGGAAACCGTACAGTAAACAAAACAGCTCAAAAGGGCGCTGTGGAGCAGCGGCTCTTAAAATGCATATTTATATCATGTGCTCAGGCACCGCGACACAGATCCCCATCCAAACTTTGTTTCTGTGGAGTCCTCGTGCATCTTCACACCAGCTGGGTCAGAGTCAGCTGTAGCTCAGGCGAACGTACAGACCCTGCTCCAAACATTGTGACAGGAGATACGTAACGCTCCTCAGCCCTGTTGACTACTGAATCACCAGAAACTCCTAACACTATTTCAATCTGTGAGTGCTTGGCATGAAACGCATTTTACTCATCAAGACTACATTGTGCAAAACACCAGATTTCCACAATTGACTGTCTCCTCACATCAGCTACACAGTCATATACACAATACGTTTGTTGGATGTTGTGGCACGCATGAAGAAATGAGATCACTTTCTACAAGCACTGAAAAGTCAAGATCAAAACAGAATACAGGTTTAAAAGAGTTTTAAAATACTCTGTGGGATGAAGACATCAATAAAAAGGTATTTCAGCAATTATCCTGTATTGATGAAATAAAACTAGGGGGGAATTTATTTTCACTCAAGAGTTGAGATTTTAATTGAAAGTTTTTATTGCTGAATCACCATCTCCTGGAAGACTATAAGTAATACGTTAGAGAAATGATTACGAATAAGATTGTCAATATCAGATATAGCGCTAGTCAATTAACTAAGAATGTTGCTCATATCGGTTAATTGAGTTAATACATTCCCCAATGCATGCATTCACGAACTGTCAGGTTTCAGCTACGTTCACTTTGCTGTGATGGCCCAGGCACCTTGTACCGTATCACCCTGCCACATGTCCTCTGTCCTCTGATTTCCGTTGTATTGTCGATATGTATGACTTAACAATAATCCCAACAGAACACAGAGCTTAGGCCATAATCATCATGGTAATTAAACACAGCTATGATCAGAATTTTTTGAAAAGTGCTATTTATCCCTTAGTATCTCTGTGAGTGTGAAGCAGAGAGCGACACTGGAATTTAAAGCACCCATTGGACTAGACACAAGGGAAGTGCCTGAACTATACCCATAATTGAGCCTATGATAGTCCTGGCAACCCTGATAAAGGCATCCTCGTGCTGAGGCAAAATTATCTGGCCCATTATCAGCAGAGTCTGCAGAGGCCTGAGCTGGAACTGCAGCACTATAACCTCAGAAGTGAAGACACATGAAAAACACACAACTGCTGAAAATGTCTGCGCTGAGATTGCACACGCAATGTAGAGTATTAGATCAAAGATGGGTGCATTTACCCCGGGAACATTTCCTCATTCAAGGCGGAGCACGTCAAATGCTGAAATAACTGGATAACAGTGAATCTGGTGAAGTATTTGCCTTGATCCCCCTCCCAATTCCTGTCTCAACGCATTCTCACATTTCCGATGCTTGATCTGCTGTGTCGCGTCATTTATTTCTTTTTCTGGAGGCTGCTTTTTGCAGAAGCAGGACAGCCCCAGCTGACTAATCAAAATGCTGGCAGCGCTCAAAGAGAGGCCGGGAATCTCAGAAAACAAACACCCGCAGTAAATCAAAAGTGATTTGAGAGGATGATCACAGATGGTGCGACCGACGAGTGCTCCTACAAATACAGCGTGTCCCCCGTGACTCATGAATTTCCCGAGCTGCTGTCTACACTTCTCTAAAATAGCATGTAGCACATTAAGAATGCAAATAAAAAACATGGCTTGAGACCACTTGTGGAGGTTTATGCACTAAATGAGAGGTAAGGAGATGGCCATGGAACCACCTCGATAACTGTGATTGGCAGACAAACGTAATCATGGGAAACTTAATGGTTCCAATTCCAAAAAGATGGAGCATGAAATCAAATCTAAAGAACAACACTCGCAACAAATCAATTTAAACTTTTCCCCTTGTTTCATTTTCTTTGTATTATATTGACACTTTCATGTGAACTCCTTGTAAAAGTTTGAAAAGGGAGCACAAACTTTCTGTTTCTTATCAAGATGTCATGTGCACTTGCACACACACACAATAAAAGGACACAAAACAAAAGCAGACTCACCCCACTGTAAAGGAGCGAGCTGTAGGTGCTCCAGGACCAGCTGGTTGAGGACGCCCTCCACGCTGGCTTCACCACTGCGCCGCAGAGAGGGGTGGGACTGGTCAAGGACAATCGCATGGAGGCTTTTAGCATTTCGAGGATTAATCAACATGGGAAACTCTTCACAAACATACACAACATTTTACTTACAAAACCAGAAGTTATAAAAAAAATACATTGTTGTTTTCAAATTTTTACCTTTTTTGGCGATGCACTGACCCCAAAAGCTTAAGTGAGTACTTGCTCTGAGAAAGAGCAAACCTGTGATATGAATTCTGTACATTCTTTTTTGGTAACATGTTTTATGGACATTTATCTCTTGTGTTACTCTGCCTCTCCCTAACTTTAGATATAAGTACACATGAGACACCTCTAATAAACCTGAACCTGTTTTGGAAAACCAACTATGTGAAATGAATTTTATCCGCAGGTTTTATGTATATTTATTTTGTTCAAATTCACACCATTAGAAAGAGCAAAGTTAAGCAAGAGCTTTTTGTCACATTAGTCATAAAGACTAGTAGTTGAAGGTTAACTTTGAAAACACAAAATAATAAATTAATCATTTAATAAATAATGGAATAACATTAGTAGGGAATAAAGAGAAAAAGGGAAAGAATATAGTTTATTCAGCCTGGTGTATAATACAGCACTTATTACTCCAGTTTAATGCTGCTGTCTTTTTAATGATAAAAAACCTACACAAATTGACTGCATCATGTCATCTTTGTGTTGTGCATTAATTCAGATGTCAAAGGTGACATGGCGAGCGTGTTTCTGTAACCTTACTAGAGCCAGCATTACACCGATCGCGGGGGGAGGCTATCAATGTATGAATGCGGCATCAAAACAAATACGACTGTCAGAGAGCAATTACCAAGATAATATGTGATGATAAGGACGACGCTGATCATTTACACAGCTGACATTTGGAATAATGGGTGAGACGAGCAGCGCCCAGAGCACCGAACCTGTGTCTATTAACCTTTGAGGGAGAGTACAGTACACATGCAGAGAGGGAGAGAGAGAGAGAGGGGGTGGGGGCATTTGCAGATAAAACATACTGTGCTGAGAGGTGCTTCTGCTGCGGCGGCTGGATCGTTTCCAAACCCAGAGTCTGAATCATAATAAATCACATGTCACAACATGCACCTGCTTCTCATTCTAATGAACAATGGCAGTGTCGCGGCTTTGATCACCCGAAGCACGAACACGTAGAGCTTCTAATTCAAGGCTTCAGCGGGGGGGAATGTTGGGTAACAGGAGCACCGAGCGGCTCTGTGATCGCCGGCCTGAGCTACTGATTTTCTGCTGCAACGTACAGTGAAGCCGTCAGGGTGCACGTGTAAGAGTTTTTACACTTTCATCTTATAGCTGTCTAACACATTCCACTTCCAAGTGTGAGTGTTTATGGAAAGATAGATAGGCCACAATACAAAATATTAATCACACCATACATTCTGGCAGCACAATGGCTATAGCAAAATGTCTCAAGTATGGGATGGATTGCTATGAAATAAGCCTGAGATATCCAAGGTGGCTAGAGGATAAATTCTCATGGCTTTGCTGATCCCATGACTCCAACACCACCATCAGGTCAAAATCTAACCATACCTGAGACATACCTGCGACTACAGGCTGTATATAATGATGGGCGATCAGTCTCCACTATCCAGAAATGAATCCTGCCATCTTGTGCATAAGGAGCCAGAATCTGTGCAGCAGCAATCGGTGTGCACTGTTGCAATGCAGCTGATAGATGCACTCGACCTATCCCGAGTCAGACTCCGTTTTTTAACACGAAATAAGAACTAATCACTCTGTCCGATCAAATCATGGCAGAGGCATGAATTATGACTTATACAGCAGCCAGCCACCAGTGGGTGATCAAGATGCTTTGGCTTCACTGTGCTGCCATGTCGTCAATCTATCTATACAGCCTACGGTTATATAACCAATAAATAAATAATAAAACAATGCAATTCCATTCAGCCACACAGTCCACTGGCGGTTTAGTGCTACATCAAGTTGTGAGCATGCTAACATGGTAATGTATGATGGTGAACCTGGTAATTACAGTGCTACCTGCTAAACATCAACATGTAAACAATGTCACTATTTTTAGACTTGTACTTAAAAGTGGCAGCAATGAGGCACAAACGAGGGACTGATAAAACTAAATGGATCATATGGTTAAAACAGGATTACATGTTAAAGTGACGCAGGGGAATAAGGAGTGAAATCCACACTAAGGTGCAGTGCATCATAAATAATTTCATGGTTATTGAGCAGAACTTTTAACAAGTATATTTCCTGAGTCTGAAGCTGAGAAATCCTGAAACCTCTGTCACTGTATGGGTGATCAATAATCATTTTAAGTTTGGCACTTTTCTGTGTGTTGGATCTGAGCGCTTCCCAGCAAAGGAGCTTGGTCGTTTTGAACATTAACACAAACCTTTCCAAAACTTACCACACTTGCAGTGTTTCTTTTTTAAATGTAAATGCCTGAGTTGGATCAGTTACATTTGAGTTGTAAAAACACAGAGCCAATGAGCAGGCATGAGGGTACGTAGACCTATACCTGTTTTTAAACATGACCTGCAGGTAAAATCCGGAGAATTGTCTCCAGAGTTTACCCCCAGTTTGCCTTTCACACATGCACAACACAGCGAGAGGTTCTCAGCACAGATGCATTCAAAACAGCATCACATCCTTTGCATTATTCAGACGAGAGGTGCAGCAGATAGAGGCAGGAAGCAGCGAATTAACACCGCTGCTGAGATCACATGATTTTCTTGAGAACACAGAGACACCGGTGTCTGCTCTTATCGCCACAAACTCTCTTGGCATCTTTGTCGGTGTCTTGACACCGCTTTTTCACCCAGAGAAATTTGTTTCCTTTTTGAATTTCTAATTTTTGTGTCTGTCATGTTTTAGAAGCGTCATCAATCCCCCCCCCCCACAAACTCGCCCACAGCAAATCCAGCGGGGGATACCCTGCTGTGTTCTCACATCGAATTTTCCAGAATTTCTACTGACTTTATACGAGGCCAGGCGGACAGAGTCTGCAGAAACTACAAAGCCTCTCACTCTGACATTTTCGTTCACACATGCACATCTTCTGGAGAGTTTCTACGGAGTTCAGTGCATGTCTGAAAGCAGCTCATATTAAAACTAAGAAACAAACAACTGGTGCTACCAATGGAGAACAACAACGCCTTGAGGCTGATACTTACTATTTTTACCTAAACTTCCCTTCACAAATCCATATTCGAGGTCACATGCACTTGCTCCTGCCTGGCTGCTAAATGTTGTAAAAACAAATACTCTGTTCTGCTGGTTACAACATCGTATCATATGATATATTAAGAATAATCAACTGTGAAGTGGATATTAGTGCTGGTTAAGACAGCTTTGAGAAACAAATGAACTTCGCTGGAATGAATCAAGAACCAAGCAATGACCTCCTCAAGGGGAGGTCATGCATATATAGCATCCCCGCCTTCCTTTCTTTTATTCCGCTCAGAGCCGGCACTATGGCAGTCTTTTCCAATGAGTGAGTCACTACAACTAACGCTATCTACAAAACAGGAATAATACTGTAGGGACCTCATAAATTGCAAATTAAAGTGACTGTTACTTTGCTCAAGGCCAAGCAAGTGCTTCTGAGTGTGACATGCACTGTAATCAAATCTTTTTATTTCTCTTGTGTTTCGCGTTGTAAAGAGAAAATCCAGCCTGAAGCAGAAATTACACAGCGCTGCTCAGATGACTGTTGACGGCCGAGTCACTATCTGCAGCCGGAGAAGTGTCTTCCTGTGCAGCAAATGATAGCATCAAGACCTAACTTGATTACATCATGGGACAATTTTGGTATCAGTCCATTGACCATGAATTTGGAGTTGACTCAATACTTCTATTTTATCAAAATGAGTTTGATCTGAAGACAAGACTTGCATCTGTGATTGAGATAAAGATTATTTGATGAAGGTTACAACATTTTTTCCAAGTCAGACGAAAATGATCAAATGGGCCAATTGAGGCAGTTTTTCTATTTTTCATTTTTGCTGCAGGAGCCGTACCAAACATGCTGCTGGGAATACATTTGTATGCAATGTTTCTTCTTTCATTTCTGCCTACATGCTGCCAAGACTACTTGTAGATAAAACAATGCACATAATGATGGGAGTGTTTACGCCTTCATAAAGAGGGAAAATACAATGGCAACTTCACTAGCTCGGAGATTGGATTCATCCTTAATTGCACACCATGCTCCCCAACAAACTGACAGGCAGTTCTTAAATCTCTAAATATGTGCACCGGTAACTGCCAACTGATGGGGTATGGGCTGATACTAGGATGGTGCGTGATGGGTGGCAGCTCTTTTTTGGCAGGAACATGAAATGAAACTCATGAACTTTACCAGAGTCTTGGCTTCAGGAACCTAGTTTTTTTTCTCAATGCCACACTATTCCTTTCTCAGGAGTTTCTCATGAATTACAACTTTTCAATGGCTCAGGGCTTGGACTGCCATAGTGTGAGTTACTGACTGAACCGCTGTTCTACAGTATTGTTTTTGTTTCACATTGCAATGTGGGAGGCTCATCTCATGTCGCCTCTCCTACTGAAACTGCATTTACTGATACTTGGCAGGGCAGTAGTGTGGCCATGTCAATACAAACCTACAAGCCACCGTTTTCACACTGCAAACAAACCCAACCATGATTCATTTTGATCCACATCGAGGACACCTCTTCTGGTCTGAGAAAAGTTTGGTCCAATGTCCAAGGAACCTTTTCACTGCTATAATTTGGTTCGGACAAAACTGAAAAGTCTGGAAGACCAGACCAAACAAGGCAGGTGTGAAGATGCCCAATGGCTTGGTAAAAGTACATTGGACTTGTTTTTAAATGCATTTAAGACTGTAAAACATCTGTGCTTTAAGTAAAGTGTCGATTTGTATGGGGAATTCAGTCCCTCTCTAGTCCAGCAGTGGTAGGATGCTGCACCTGAGGAAAGTTTGTATTTGGTTGTTTCCTGTGTCAGAACTTTAGTGGGAGGGTTTGGACTGAATTCAGACAAATCCCTCTGACACGATTTTGCAAATGTTATTGTCTGAGGCAGACATTATGGTTACTGACGTTAAAACAAGTTCCACCTTCCCCGAAGATATTAAAAACACCTCCGATCTCAGTCATATGTTTAGATTGTTGAAGCACTCATTGATGCACACACATGCGCACAAAGACATTGCTTCACAGTGTCAGAGTGGCAAGTACTCCACCATACGTTTTCCCATCTGTCACTGAGAGAGAAGTTCCCTGCTGGCCAGAGGGCCTCCAGATGTAGCATCCAGATGTTCTGTTACTCTGATCAGACTGATGTCAACAGAAAAAATGTAAAAGATGCAACAGGGATGAAATCTGTTTCACCACTCAAAACTATTGGACATCATCACCTGTGACTGTTACAGGAGACACAGTACCAAGGACACTTACCTACAAATGTAAACTTTTACCGTCTCCATCTACTTTCTAACTGGCAATGATCCGTTCAAGCTGCTTCCTCTAATATAATCCTCCTGTACATGGAGCCACTGAAAGGATATGATGCTCCAACAGATGCCCAGCTTGCTGTTGATCTGGCAGCCCTGGGCGTGCTGCCGCTCCTCCTCCAGCTGTTTGGGGTTAGTGAAGCGAGCCGTCTCCTGGTCTGGCTGTGGCAGACTTTCAAAGTCAAACTTATCAACCTGGATGGCCATTCTGCAACAAAAGATGGGAACAGCACTTAGACACACACACACACACACACGTTTCTGCTTATGTAACTGCTCGCTGGCCAAAAGGAAATGCCACAGTATCCGCTTTGTGACACTGGGAATGACACTTGCATAACTGACATTTTAAACTTTATGGACAAGTTAAGTTAATGAAGGTTCAACTGACTGATTTTAAAGGGCTCACATGTATCTTCTAAAAAGTCAATGATTTATGTGCACATATTAAATTAAGGAGTATTGTAGTTGGCTATATACTGTTTGTTATTTCTCAGTAAATAGTCAAATTTCTTAATAAATATGGTCAAACATTCGGTTCACCTGAGTCCAAAGACAAACATTCAAAAGAGGGAAAGGCAGTAAATTATTCATTATCAACTACAATAAAGTTACTTCCAGTAGTTTGCTGCTCGATCTCTTTTAGAGGTTGAAGATCAAGACAAAGTTAAATTCATAACTAATAACAAAAATTGTCATTGTAGTAGTTTTTAATACTGAAGAATCCAAACACATTGTATTTGAATCAATTTCAATAATCCAGACAGCAAATGTAAATATGTTTCTGTTCAGTTATAAAACCAAAAGGTAAATAAATAATATACAACACATTGGACCTGAATGGAATCAACCACATCTCAAGTAACATAACAACTGTGAACTATGAGTACGACGACTTATGTAGCCGATGATGCCAACACTAACGGGGGCAGTGTGGATCGTGGCGGCCAAATGTGTATTGTGATTACTACTAGATTCCTCAGAATTGTCATTGCTGCTTTCTTAATCTCTGTCAGACATTTTCTTTGGTATAAAAACTTAAAACATTGATTGATTTAATTCATGGTAAACACCTTCTTTTCTCATAAATGTTGTAAATATAATCATTTTATTGCTGCAGGAGAGGGGTTGCTCACATGCGACTATCTCTGAACTTTTTACATTTTATGCCTCGCTAAAGCTTTTTAGTATTTAGTTTTCCCTTCCTGCTGAAGGTTAAGGACAGAATATGTTGTTCTTGTTAAGCCCTATGGCAAGGGCAAATTGTGTTTTGTGAATATGGGTTATACAAATAAAATTTGATCGATTGAACAACTTTTCAAACTTCTTTCCATTTTCTTTGTACTGTGCCAATTAATGCCCCTGAGTTTTTTAGTCACTAAGGAAGCTGTGAAGGGGAGGAATTTGGTTATTTAGCTTACTAACTAGCTACAGCATTGGTAAGCTTGTATAAGCTTTTTAGTTCACACATTTTATTAAGAAAATGTATTCATACCAATATCTGTTGTAGCAGTCTAAACACTATTGCTCCTGTATGGAGTCATTTATATTCAGAAAGAGGAGGGATAAATAAATGTTGGTGTTAGTAAAGGGTTAAATTCGTCAATTCTGTGATCCATTAAAGGTCAACAATGTCAGGACAGCTTATTGGTGGTCGATGAAAATAGTGCATGTTATCATGTTATATATTTACTTTACCAAATGAGAAAATTCACTGATTCTACTGGAATTAATTGATGTCGCTGCAAAATGTTGTCATTTTAAATCAAATGCATAAGAGGAACTGGGTTTAAACAAAAACAAGATGTCGAGTTTATACCACTATTTATTCCACAGCAACTAAACCCAATGGGATCCTAATTTAAAAAGAGCAAAATCATTTCAATAGTCAATAAAACCTATTAGTGGCACTAATTTAGTTGCAGTCATTTCAGGTAAAACTCCTCTCATGTCCTATTCAAGAGAGTGTTGAATATTTAATACTGTAAATATGTTTAGGTGGACTTTATATTTGATAACAGACTTTCTGCATTGACAGTGGCAATAACCCTTGATAGATTACAGAGGCCTATTCTCATCACCATCTCTGGAATATTTCCGAGGAGAACCGTGCTCACATTTCTGCCTGATGACAAACAATGCAGGCTGATTTGTGTGGTTTGGCATGTGATAAATTATTTATCTAGTCTGAGCAAACACCCTTAGGCCCAAGCTCTCCCCTCTTTACTGAGGGTGTTTCTAAGTTATTTATTAACAAGAGCCAGAGTGTACGTAGCCCGAGGTTGCACCGAGTGCCACATCCAGGATTCACAGTGTAGGTGCAACAAACTGAGCTAAGGCCATTAAAATGACCCCAAAGCCCAACACTAATTACTATTGCAGCATTCAGGCCCTGCATTAAATGAAGGAAATATCAATCGAACGTACTATGTACTGTATACATCTCTATAGAGTTATATGCAAGTTAAAGGCAGTAGGAGGTTTATGGTATGATATCCTGATGGAAAAGAGGAGAGTAATATAGGATGAGAAGGTCAACACTCGCTACATCCTGGAACAAACCTGACAACTGCTGTACCACAATAAAATACCAAAACACTGTTATATACCAGCAAACATTAAAGCGGCATTGTGGCTTTTTTAATTTTTAATGAGCAGCAGGAAACACTGAACAAAACAATGACACATTACTATTTCTGTGTATTAAAAAAGTGTTCCTTTTACAAATGTAAAGTCCTGTTATTCGGCACATGACAAAAATATCCTATCATTTCTTATTACAGCCCCAATTTAATCTCCATAAACTTTGGAAGGACATTCATGGTTCTTTGGCTGCTAGATGTCTGAGTATGTTCACCAGCTAGTCATTAACATTTTCTATTCACTACCACCTGCTGAGGTATGTTTTCCCAGAATTTTTCACAAAAAACATCTGCGGCTAAAATGGCCCCATGGAAGACTGAGATAAAATGGTGGAGTTACAGGCCTAAAAATCAAAATAAGCAACGCTACTTTGAAATATGCTCCAGAGGTCACATTATTGTTGCTCTCCAAGGTGAGTTAACAAGCCCATTTATCAAACGTTGCTGCAAAATGTATGAACAATTGGTTTCTTGTAGTGAAGCTGTGCAGTTCTCTTCAGCTCAACAGAGCTTTGTAGTTTCTTTTAGGTCATTGTTTGCAAATTCTGCTCACACAGTAACCCCCATTTCATGCAGCAGCAGCAGAACCTGTTTCCAGCAGTCCATCAAACCTTAGACAGCCAAAGTTAGAATAAAATGAAACTATAAAATCCACAACTCAAGAGCTGGTGGAGACTGAGCGCTAAAAGGTGTTTTTTTAGGCCTAAAGTAGCATACAATCCTTCAACTTATCTGAAAACCTAAAGTCACAAAACTTGGAGATATGTTTTGTAATTGGACTGCACAGTGTGTTATAGGCACAACAGAGGAGCACTTCACAGGGGTCAGAGATATGTCTCCAGCCTCTTACTGATGTCATCACAGTGAGTGATAGGGCTTTGCCTCAAGTGTTTAACTGGCAGAAAGACACCATCAGCATTATCTTCTAGTAAGGGCACCAGAGAAAAAACTGTCCAACCTGCAGTCCTTTTTTTCAACACCCTCAACGTTCTTATCATTCCCTAGAGAAATGACACAATGGGACTAAGAGGTGGGCAGCTAACTGCAAGTTACCTGGATCCCCATCTCCACAAGAGACCAGCTTACCATGAAAGGTTCTTATAAAAAGCAGGATCTTAGACTGGAACCATGCCGACCAGTGAAAATTATGTCATCATGAGCATATTCCAGTTTCGTGCAAGTGTTTATCTATTTTATTCTGTTTGATAGGCAAAACAAAGTGGATCAATTTATTGATCAGCAGGCTCATCTCTGGGTTTCAGTTCCAAAGCTGCGATGGCTCCCTAAGGAGTCATTTCTACTGAGAGAGTCATAGAGGCAGCACAGTCAGATTGGCTGCAGTGGCTTTGTTGTGATTTTTAATTCAGCTCTAAAGCGATTGATTACCACATGAACAGAGATCATAATAACGTTGAACCAAACTAGCAAATCATAAATCATCTATTTACAATACCAAAAATCTCTGTCTGTGACTCGCATATCTGGAGAGCCATTTATCTATTATTTATCCATAACCATTATCTTCACACTCGGTATTGTATTTATAAACTTTGACTAAAAGGGGCGACCAGAGCTCTGTAGCAGCAGCAGCTGGGATCAACATTACTGATGTTGTTGATCACGACAATGGGCACGTTCACGACCTCGAAACAACAATTGATTTGAAAAAAAACTGGTGAACAGCTCTTCGTGCAGCAGCGGTGAAGCGGCTTTATGGTTCTGCAGACTAAGTACCGCAGCTGGACTCTGCTGCAGGTCACTTTTACAGTTTCAGAAAGAAAACTGCCACCAGCATCATCACAGGCAAAACAAACAGCCCATTCCAAAAAGGAAGGGCTCTGCACTAGTCCTCATGTAATGAGTGTTTTGGTTCTAAATGTCTGATTGTATGATTTTGAATTTGAGTTGGATGTTTGTTTGGTCATTTTGTTGTTTTAAATCTCACAATAGCCAACACACAAGTTTAGTGATGATTTGCTACCTCACCTGTCTTACATGCAGTATTGCACATTGTTACAGGCATTACACTACTAGAAACAAAAATCTCTTGTGAGTCTTGATGAGTCCAGACACACACAAAGACACATCAAAGTGAGGTGGAGGAGAGAAGGCAATGTAATTATCATTTCACAGCCTTTACAACAAAGCAGTACACAAATTAAATAATAATTAAGACTTCAAGACAAAGACGAAAGCGGAGCTCCTGGTCTTGCCGCACCAGACTCAACTACATCTGCTTTTGAAGATTAGTGGCACAAGGCTTATGTCACCGTCTGAAGTCCCATCTTCAAATGGGCACTGCTTTTGATTCAGTCATCTTCAAAAGCACACATTAAACGCCAAGTCTAAAAATACCACGTTCCAACAATGCAAATGGCCTCTAAATGGGAAGGCGATGTCTGGCCAGGCCTGGGACTGGTTTTCTTTGGACAGGTAATTAGTGACAGCCAGATACCAAACACCCAGAGTGATACTTCAAATGGTAGGTAATATAAAAAAGGGAATGTCTTTCAGGAACTAAAACATTCAGCATTACAACAGTGAGGAGCATTCACGACGTCATGTT